TTCAAAATGATTGACCTTAAAATATGTGATCCTTTTAACTGAATGTCCAGATAGATGCCAAGAAATATCTGATACAACTGCTGGTCCATTAAAAGTAGAAAAGGTTAAAAACGAAAATTATTAAATGAAATAGGACTATTGTCCCGTGAATTATAAAGTATTGTAATTGCAAGCCCGTGAAGTGAACGACCCCATTTCCCGCTGGACTTCTCCTCCACCAATAATTCCTCATCCCTTCTTAAGGCTCCACACAATATAGATTTTCGTATGACGTATGCTTTTAGACTTTGTTTTTTTTTTAAGTAAATATTAGAATATTTCTTTGTGAGTTGTTCTATATCGTCTATATAGGGAAATAAGCTTACTTGTGAGTTGTTCTACATCGTCTGTATAAGAAAAATAAGTTTAATTTATAAGTCTAACGGCTACTTCTCCTTCCACAAATTGGTTTTGAGATGGGACATCACTTGGGCTTCATGTGAGTTTTCTATGTCTTTTTTTATGTTATAGTGTGATTCATGTGCGTGGGGTCGCATCGTTTTACACTCGTTTTTTATATGGTATCAGAGCCGGTTCTATTGGCGTGTGATGACGTACCCGTTTTATATGGTATCAGAGTCAGTTCTATTGGAACCGTGTGATGATGTACCCGTTTTCCCCCACATACCTGTTTATGGGAGTCTGTTCTAGTAGGGGTTGGACACCCAGTTCCGTATATGAGCTTGGGCTTTTTTTATTAAGGATTCACAAGTGAGGGTCACATCGTTTATATAGGGAAAATATGTCTAATTCATAATTCTAATGGACTACTCCTCCTTCCAGTAATTGATTTTGGGATGAAACCTCACTTGGGTTTCATCTGAGTTTTCCATGCCTTTTCCCTGTTATAGTGCGTTTCATGTGCATGGGACCGCATCAATTTACCCCCGTTTCTTATACTAAATACAACCTGAACTTCATGATCAATTAATATTCATAATTTGCAGCATGTCATATATATTTCGACAAGTAGTTGTGAATTATGAATGAGGTCATTAAGTTCAAGTTTCAACTTATCAAAAAAAGTACTATTATAGGTTGCCAAAAAAGATCGTACAAAAAGTATAGGGGAGAATGGGATATTAATATGTGATTCATTCACCAAACAAAAATGTAATGTTCATTCGTTTTGCATTTTTCCTAGTTAAGTTTATTTTTTTTTTTTAATTATAGTTTTTATATTAAAAAACAATTACTATTACAAATTATTTATAAAAATTCTCTTTTATCTAATCACTTATTTATAACTATTTTTCATGTTTATATTTAAGTAACCAATTCAAATTCTAGACTTCTTGTGATATTTTATGAGTTGTCTCTTGCAAATTTTCCCAAATGTATTGTAGCAGAACGAATGATGAGAGCTCACCAATTATTGCACAATATTATTATTATTATTATTATTATTATTATTATTATTATTATTATTATTATTATTATTATTATTATTATTCTCTCTTACAAGCGAGCTATACTAGGCTTAACCACTACAAGAAAATACTTTAATTCCAACGAAAAATTCCAACGGCAAAAATTTCCGTTGGAAATTCCAATGAATATTCCAACAAACTTAATTTTATGGTGGAATAAGTGTTGGATGGTTGAGGAATTCTAACGAATTTTTTCCTTTGGTTTAGCTATTCCAACGGTCATTTTTTCCACGAATTTTTATACGTAGGAATATAGCTATTCCAACGGAAAATATAAAGAATTCCAACGAAAAATTTCCGTTGGAATGTAAGAGTTTTTTTTGTAGTGAACTATGCTTATACTTGTGATATTTATGTGAAATTAAATTTGACAAAAATCACAATTCCCTCCATGAGATACTCTAACTGTTGATTACGTACGCAGTCCACAATGCACATATAATTTTTTTATGCCAAGTTATAACAAATCCGAAAGGCACTTTTTTTAATATTCACTTATGAATTGTCCCACATCGTTTATATAGGAAAAATAAGCTTAATTTACAAGTCTAATGGACTAGAGGTCATGTGATTGCAACAGTCAAAATACCAATGAGGATTACCTGCAGTAGCAGACATAGCAAAATTAGAAAAGATAACCTGCTTGAGAATAACTTCTATGTCTTGAATAGTGTAAGACGAGTGTTGAGGCTCATTAGTGACAGCCGTTGTAACAGAAGATAAGGTCGATGGAATACCCACAAGACCCCTCGATATCGAGAAGATGAACCTCCCTAACGTTGTGACTTGTTAGGACAATTCAGAGCAATATGACCCGAGCATGGCAGATGTGACACTCCATTTTAGGACAAGTGGCAAAAGGGTGACTAGAGGTCTTGCAAAGCCGACAATAAATATAGATTGGTGGTTGAGGCTGATGTGACGGAGCGAAAGCTGAAGTAGAACTAATGCAGACTCAAGCTGTGGTATCCTGGCCAAATGAAGACGGGTCTCCTCAAAAGTGATCTCTTGAATAGTAACATCAAGAGTAGGCAGTGGATGACGATGAAAGAGAGAAGCACGGACAACTTCATACTCGGACAAAGAGGCATCAAAATCTAAATAAGATCAAGGTGATCTGGACTAATCTCAACATGTCGGAGAAGATACCAGATTGGTTGAACTTGTGCAAGAAACTCATTGAACGATTGACAGTTGCTGCTTGGTGGAATGCAAGGTGCTCCAAAGTTGATAATACCGAGACAAGGCTGTAGTCTGAAATCGAGCCGCCAAAAAATTCTAAGCCTCCTTTGCACTGTCAAACGGGGCAAGAAGCATCTGAATAACAGGGACTGAAGTATTACATAACCAAGTAAGAATCTGATGTGATATGGGATATTATATACTAGACCGGTTCGCAGAACACTCCAAACAGAATAGTATGAGGGTGTGGTCGAGTAGTGTCGACAGGTCTACAGAAACTCTAGCACCTGGTCGAGAAGGCGCATTCCAGCGAGAATAGGCGCGGGACCAATCATCCCCCGTTTGTGGGGCAGATTACACGCGCGAGCACATGGACAGATTTGGTCGACAGCCAGAATATGCTAGAGGATCTCCGTCACGTGGAAGGGGACACGCGGCGCTCTGTGAATGGGCCAAGGAATAACGAACTCTGACATTCTCTGACGCGGCTGACGCGTTTTCTGACACCAGGGAAAGTGGAGACGCGCAACTGTACGGACGAGCAGAGGAGGAAGGGCGAAACTCGCCTAGTCGCGCGTGGCCAACAGGTAACCCGTCCCTATAAATAGGGACGAGGATCATCGTTTTGGTTAACTTCCAATTTTCCTAAGATTTTGATATACACCTTTATCTCTCAAGATCTGACTTGAGCATTGGAGGCTCTTCACCGGAAAATACCTCCGGTGTGAGAGTTTTCGTGCAGGTTCAGCGTTCGACCGGTGGAGGAAGTCGTGTTTGCCGCGGTTCTCGGTCGGGCGAGCGTTAGACTTGTATTATGATGGTTCTTACTATCTCAATCCTCCAACTTATCGACGTAAGTTGTAAGAGCATGTGGTGTGGGGTTGGAATCCCCTAAAAGAGACGGATGCAGAGGTGGCAACAAATCACAAGTCACAATCCGTCATAATTTCTCTCAATTTTGTCCCACATCGTTTATATAGGAAAATAGGCCTAATTTATAAGTTTACTGGGCTACTCCTCCTTCTACCAATTGGTTTTGGGATGGAACCTCACTTGAGCTTTACCTGGGCTTTCTCTCCTTATGGTGAGCTTCACGGTTGTGGACCGCACCCGTTTTTCCCCCCGTTTCTTACATGGTATCAGATCCGGTTCTATTGGGACGTACGATGACGTACCCGTTTACCCAGCCCAGGGCTTGGGCACCCGACTTCGTATATGGGCTTGGGCTTCATATGAAGGACTCACAAGTGAGATAGCGTATTAGAATATTCTGCTTGTGAGTTGTCACACATTTATATAGTGAAAATAAGCCTAACTCGTAAGTCTATTGGGTTATTCCTCCTTCCACCAATTGATTGATTTTGAATGGAACCTCACTTGGGCTTCACCTGATCTTTCTCTTCTTATGGCGCGCTTCGCGTGCGTGGCATCGCACCCGTTTTCCCCCATTTCTTACAGCACTTATACATCATTTTTTATGCAAAGTTAAAATGAATCACATTTGTTAACATGATATAGTCATGAGTATTCTACTACTATTTTTCTTTTTTTTTTCATTCTTTTTATTATCTGTTTGTTTGTTTCCATTAGAAATATTATCTCTTAGGCCATGCAGATTTCTTTGTCATGAATACGACTAGAATTCTTCACATGCATGCCAAATTGCAAAAATATGAAAACCAGCTGTAACAATGTTCAATAATCATCCATCCCCACAAGCTGAAACAGTATCCTCTTCCCTTTCTCCTCCTCTTATCTATAAATTCCTTCTCACATTGTCTTCAAAAAGCCCATTCACATAGCAAAGCTCAAAAATGGATCACACATCACTGCTCATTCTTGCAACAGCCCTCTTCATAGTTTCCATCTCTACACCCTGCACTTCCTCCCACGACCCGTGCCCCTTCTCCAAACCCGGCCCGGACCTATCCGTCATCCACATTTACGGCAAATGCTCCCCCTTCGACCCGCCCAAGCCCGACTCCTCGTGGGCCACCACTGTCCTCAACATGGCCACTAAAAACGACCCGGAACGGGTCTCGTACCTGTCCAGCCTGGCGGCCCAGAACAAGCCAATATCCGCCCCAATTGCCCCGGGCCAGGTCGTAAATGTCGGCAATTACGTAGTCCGGGCTCGGGTCGGCACCCCTGGCCAGCTCATGTTCATGGTCCTCGACACGAGCAACGATGCCGCGTGGGTCCCGTGCGCCGGCTGCACCGGCTGCTCCCCAACTGCTTTCGCCCCAAACACATCCTCCACGTACGGGCCGGTCGACTGCTCCGTGCCCGAGTGCACCCAAGTCAGCGGGCTCTCATGCCCGGCCGACGGGCCCGGCCCGTGCCTCTTCAACAGGACCTACGGTGGGGACTCCTCGTTTTCCGCCATGCTGGCGCACGACACCTTGTCCCTTGGCAATGACGTAATCCCCAGCTACACGTTCGGGTGCGTGAGCTCGGTTTCGGGCGGGTCGGTCCCACCCCAGGGGCTGTTGGGCCTGGGTCGGGGGTCCCTGTCGCTGCTCACCCAGTCCGGGGCCCGTTACTCGGGGATTTTTTCATACTGCTTGCCCAGCTTCAAGTCTTATTATTTCTCGGGCTCGCTGAGGCTCGGCCCATTGGGCCAGCCCAAGAGCATCAAGACCACCCCGCTTCTGAAAAACCCACACCGCCCCTCGTTGTACTATGTCAACCTCACGGGCGTTAGCGTGGGCCGGGTGAACGTGCCTGTAGACCCCACGCTCCTGGCTTTCGACCCGAACACAGGGGCGGGCACCATCATGGATTCGGGCACGGTGATAACCCGGTTTGTCCAGCCCGTTTACGCTTCGATCAGAGATGAGTTCAGGAAGCAAGTGAAGGGCCCGTTTAGTTCGTTGGGGGCTTTCGACACTTGCTTTGCCGCCACCAATGAGGAGTTGGCGCCGGCAATCACGTTTCATTTCACCGGACTGGATCTGAAGTTGCCGACCGAGAACAGCTTGATACACAGCAGCTCGGGCTCATTGGCTTGTTTGGCCATGGCTGCTGCACCAAATAATGTGAATTCGGTGCTCAATGTGATTGCGAATTTGCAGCAGCAGAATCTGAGGATCGTGTTTGATACCGTCAACTCTCGTTTGGGCATCGCTCGGGAACTTTGTAATTAGGCACGGGCTTTTTTCCTGTCGCTGCGGATGTGTGTGGTGTTTCCGTTCATGTTTGTTGTGCCATTTCAGTTTGATGAGTTTTGTGATGTACTTTGCTATGCACATGACAAAAATGTTGCTGCTGCTTGATGTAAGTCCAACCAGTGCAAGTCAAGACAATGCCTTTAAGCATTGTGAATTAAAAGGAACTTATATATATGTATCCTTGTGAAGAATCTTGTCAAAAGGCAGATAAATCACAGAAGTCTAAGTTCATTACACTCTGCTTGTATCAGTAACACAACAAATTCCACTAAATTAACTGTTGCAACAGACTTTCATCATTAGATATAGAAGATAATTAATGTCAACAAGAATGGGATTTAACAGCAAAACAATGTAAGGTGAAACACCATGGGTGGATAAGAGACTTGGATAGCAGTTTGCAACACAAACAGAGGTGGTAAGAAAAATATCAAAAAGAACTGGCATCATAAATCAGATAAAAGAATCATACGAGTTCTGCAAGAAAAGCCGATTACTAACAATAAGAGAATGTATCACATGCGTCAAAACACGCCTAAAGTATGGATGGAAGACGATATTCAAATCACTGTCAACATAATTGTGAACCGACAAATGAACATAGACCAAATTCATCAACTATCATGTTAACAAGTTCTGCTAACCAACACGGGGAGTTTATTAATTACTATACAACAATGTCAGCCACACTTGGGTACGGAAAGTTACAAAGGAGATGACACAATGCTAAGCATAAAATACAAAGTCGCGAGAGAACACGAGTAACATAAAATAACACATAGAAGTTAACTTGAGAAAAAAGAAAAAGGTTCACGCGGCATTTCATCTATGCTCCACATTGAACCAGAAAAACAGAGAAGTACGGGTGTATATGACCCTCACATGCTGGAGTGAGAGGGTTCCACTAGTCAACACAGCCTTGGCCCCACCTTCAATCCTCGTCCGCATTACAGTAACACAATCAGCAGTATTCTTCGGCCTAGGCGAAATCCCATCAGGAGTAGTTGCTGTGGTCACAATGGCATGAGAGAGATGGTCCAGAGGGTTCGACTCGCACTGAAGTATACAGCCATCGATTGTGAGCCTCCCACTCCTATGAAGCAGGCAGCAACCGAGCTCTGCCCTCACGGTTAAATTAGCCAATTTGCATGTCGACAAAAACTCCAGTGCACTGCAGAACAGAGTTTACCAACAAACACACACAAAGTTGCGGTAACCGGTAAAAGAATTGCAACCCAGAGTTAACATCTCTGGCTGAGCCACAAAGATGTAACTAGTATTTGATGAACATATACACAAGTTAAAGGCACAATGAACTGGAAGTAACACTGCAAACCTCTCAGAGCCACGAGAGCAAATGAGTGTGGTATCATCAGGAAGGTCACCTGAACCAATCTGAGATGGTGGAAAAGAGGGTAAAAAATAAAAAATTAGGTATGACACATAATTATAGGTAACATGATATACGATGAAGGCCAGGAGCTAATGCCTTTGACTAAACATATAAAATCGGAATAAAATCCAGACCCTTGGCCTCCATTACAGATATATGCAAGATGATGTAATACATTATTGCAACTACAAAATAGTGGAAAGAAATAGTGTTGGCTAATAAAAATAATTTTCATCTAACGCATTCCATCTTTTCTATGCTAAATGTAATTAAGAAGCTTATTCGACTGACGCAGCTTATCCAGATGAAAACATGGAGGTCATCCTGTCGGCTGCATGTATGCTGCACCATGCTGAACAGTATAAAGTAAATCTAGCAAATTATATTTCTCTAAGCTAAACATACATTACTCAAAAGGAAAGTCACATGGAAAATAAGAGTTTACAGGTACTTTGAATTAATTGTTGATTCAAACAAAGACAACAAAAAAATTACCAGGCACAGAGGCTTTTTAATTTGAATATCAGAAGTGCGGTGAATGCCCCCAGCTGCAATCAGTATAGTGTCCCCAGGCCTGTAAAGCATTGAGAGTCAGAATAGTTTCGAATTCCTTTTTACTTGAAAGTTAGCACAAGCATGTGTTATCTTACCTTGCTGCGGAGACAGCTATCTCAATGCTTGGGTAAACTCCAGGTAAAGATAGATCTTTGACCGACCTATCTACTCGCAACCAAAGCCGAGGGTGACAAGCCAGGAATTTCCATCTGCGGCAAACGAGGGCAGAGTTATACCGATCTGCAATTTCAACAGAAATTCGTGACAGTAACACCCCAAGCACATATGAACGTCAGTGCAGTGCAGTTTGGATTTACAAGAGCAGATAACATTAACCTCAAAGCTAAGACATAAAAATGAACGAACTGGTGAATAATTTAAGCCAGAAAGGCAATCACTTTCACCTCAAAATTGCAAAATTACATACTCACTCACCATAAAAGCATCAAGAAACTATTTAGCACTGATATTACTAACTGAAATAATACCAAAGGAGTAAATACATGCTAAATAAAAAAAGAAAAACCAGAACTTGGGACACTAATAAAATCCATTTCTGCTAGTAATGAAAAAATCTTGAGAAGGGTTCCAAGAGTTACGAAAACGGATTACGAACAATTTGCACGAAATGGGATAACGAGAACTTGAGCAAATAAAACAACTGCAGAGTTATCACAATCAACAAAAAAACCCAAAGTTATGTCGGGACAAAAAAATCGATCATACTGAAGAATGAGTACTGAATCAGACAGGATAACTGGATAAGCAGATTTTTACACATTGAACCAATAATATGAACAGTCAAACATAAGCCCGAACATAAATTCTCTGTTTCCCATCACGGGAGCAAGAAAGTAAGGAAATTTAGCTCCTGAAAACCCAATCAGGATCCACCGGTTGAGCCCCCAATGAAACGACAACATTAGATGAGGTACATAACAGATGATACCTGGGATTGGGGAGAGGAAGCTGAAAATGAGCATTAGACAGCCATCGTCAAGATTATTAATGTGAGGACCGCAAAAATTCTTCGAGTGCATAGTTAATTTCCGGCATTTGATGGTAGGTCTCTCCTCCATCCAATCCAAGATTCTTCTATTGAGACTGAAAATTAGGGTTTTTGGGGGAGAGATGGCAGTGGATTTCAATGTACTGAAATATCTGCTGTGGAATGAAAAATCCCTCGTTCCCAATCCAAATGAAATTAGAGTGATATGAAGATATCATCTTTTATTATATTTATAAAATTTTTTCTTAAAATCTAAAATTATTGAGCAAAAGTGATTGAAAATTTCAATACCTTTTATAAAAATATATATATTATTATATATTTAGTATGATATTTTTTTTTATTTGTGCGACTTACATGTGTTATATTATAATAATTTTTTTAACTTACAACATATAACTACATTAAACATAAATATATCAACTGAGAAATAATTTTATTTTTCTAATGAATTTTAGTAAATATTATTATTTTTTATTATTATAAAGATAAATATAATTTATTTATTTCATATATATACAATATGGATGTCAAATCGAAGATCATCAAAAGATGATTAATTTGATATAATTATATATGTAAAACCGATAAGAAATACAAAAGTTATCAACTTTTAAAATACATTTACAATTCAATAGCTAATAGAAGAAAACAAATCAAAAGTCACGGATATACTAGTCACTTAGTGTCTCACTATGTAAAAATTACAAAGAAATAAAGAGTTATATTAGTAAAAGTGATATTAAAATACCTAAGCTAGCTAAATAATATTTATGGAATGTCCAAACCTAAATTATTAATTAATTATTAATATATCAATATTATTTGTCCAAACCTAATTACGAAGCATGATTCTTTGCCAAGTAGGATTTCAAAGCATCAGAAACAGCCACGTAGGCTCAACGGCATTCGAAAAGAATATATAAGGAGAATGACAGAAAATGGAAACCATACCAACGTAGGAGCCCAACTTTATGTATTACATATTATTTATTATTTGGGCTTACAGAAAGACTTTTGGCCCAGTTTTTTTCATCATTAAATATTGTTCAATCTTGGTCTTAACTCTTAATGTAAAGAGGAAATTACACTATCCATTACACATTAACATTTTTATTACATAATTACAGTTCATATATATTTATTTGCAAATTAACTAAATCTATCATATTTATTTACAAAACATGCTAGATTATTTAGCAACATATAATTATTTTTAAATATGTTAAAAGCAGATTTAATGGGATCTATAATTATCACACGCTTTCTCTCTGTCCCCCTCTCTCTATTTGTCTTCTTCTTCTTCTCTCTCCATCTCATCTCCTTCTTCTTCTACAA